GTGGTGAATCCCAATAACATTAATTGATGAAATTTTCTAGTCCTAAAAGTGGAAGACGGGCATGGAATTTACATCTTTCCGACATGTACTTCTGCTAAGGTGATGGATTCTAATTTTACTTAGTCTACTACGACTATACGCTTTTGTACCGTTAGTAAATCTTTCGTATAGAACAAATTTGCTTTGCTTATATTGATTAAAAGTGTCTGAGTTCATGTTTACACGAAACATGAACTTCTAACACATAGCTTTTCTGTACATAAACCTGTGATTCTTGTTAATCCACGTAAAATGAAGTCCTCCATTTTATGACTTCGTCTACATTGTGTCAGGAGCTTTGAAGTATGTTACATTAATTTTACGGTATTATTGACTAGATACCTGTTAATATAAACACTATCGTAGGAATAAGTAAATATCTGAATTATTATTATTATTAATATTCTTATAAAATCAGAATATGACCGGCATAGAACATGAGTATATTCTGTCCCCAAATAGCTGGCATTAGCTTCCTAACGGTAACTGACAGGATGTTTGTTTGATATTCAGAGATAGTCAACAAGAAGTCAGGAGATCGAATTTCATGCCGATTTGAAAACATCAGTAATGTGTATCTCCGATGTAGAAAAAACTAACAGTACTTCAGCCTCCATCTAACCAACAGTAGTGAAGACTACACCTGCATATTTCGCAACTGAGATTTTATGGTCAGCTATGCAAAAAAACGAAGTAAATTCAATGAATGAATCAGTTTGATACTGACCTTAATTTCAAATAGTGACTGTGTGCATTATTATTTTTTCATTCAGGCTTAAAGCAATGAAGTTTCAGTAGTAGATAATGTTCTTTTTGTGGAGAGGTTTACCAAACCTTCCCTCCTATTTGGCTTTATATCCGGCTAATCAACTAGTTGAGTTTTAGGAGACAGTCGGTCAGGATTAGAACCCCCGGACTACATGTGTAGTAGTACTGAACCACCGACTCACTATGCGTTAATTAGTATACAAATCACCAGGTTGCACTGTGAAACTATTAATATGAATTAAAGTAAGCCTACAGAACACATTAATTCTTACATTCATTTATAAAACAGAAGAATTCACTTGAAACATATTTTGTAATGTTACTTTCTTCAAGTCATAACATTACATACAGGTTCAGTTGAATGAAATTAAGCAGTTTTCTAAAAAAGAACAAGTCCCATCATGCTGGATAGAATGAAGGATGCACTGGATACAGAACTGCATCAGTCCTGAACAAGCTAGATTTAGCAAAGGCAAGACATATGCTGATCAAATTGCAACTCTACACCTCGTCATTACAGAACAAAGCATAGAATGGCATTCAAACCCCTCCCTACCTCAACTTCATCGGCTTCGAAAAGGCTTTCACTAGACAGCGTTGACTGAAAAGTAATTTGCAAACTGCTTCAACACTATAGCATGCAGTGCTCAAGTTATTATCAACCTCATTCAACAGTTGGTTATATGACAATGCCTGACATGTGCCAGGTGATCCGCAGCGGAAAACTGCACGAGGCGTTTGAAGTGCGTACAGCAGTAGGACAGGTCCGCCTGCCTATTATCAGCAACGATTTTCTGGATTGTGGTGGACTGGATTATGCGTCAGACTGCAGAAGGAACGAGGAGTCAGGAATACACTGAACCACCGATAAGAAGACTCTAGAAAATATGCATTTCGCAGATGATACTTGTCCAGTATCCACACAAACTCGAAGATTGGCAAGAGAAAACCAACAAACTGGCTAAAGAGGCAGTGAAAACAGGACTGCAGGTGAACACAGAAAACACTGAGGGGGTGAGGATAACCAATCGACAGCAACAACAGCCAGCACCAATTACCATCAACGGGACAGATTTGACAGAGGTTGCCTCATTCACTTATCTGGGAAGCATCGTTTCAATTACAGGCGGAAGGGACGACGATGTTAAATTCAGAATCAGAAAGGCCAGATATTCCTTCATCAACTTGTAATTAGTTTGGAAATCTTCCGCACTTAGCATAGGGATCAAGATTCGCATTTTCAACACCAATGAGAAGTCGCTTCTTCTATACGGGTAAGAAACTTGCACTGCATGTCGCCAAAAGGATTTCCAACAGGTTGCAGACTTTCATCAACAGCTGCCCTTGCTCCATATTGAAGATCAGATGGCCAGAAAGAGGAAGTAACAATAAACTATGGAAGAAAACCAACAGGCAAGAGCAGATCGCTCAACAGTTATCTAGGAGAAAGTGGAGACGGATCGGGCATACATTTGGGAGGCCGTCGAATGATATCGCGCACCAGTCCTTCGAGTGGAATCTAAATGCGAAGCGACGAGTGGATTGTCCTGGGGTGACATGGAGGAAATCGTGTGAGGAAGAGATTTGAGAGTTCGGTCAATCGTGCAAGAGGATGGCTGAAAACAGAACAAGGTGAAAATGTGTTGTCGAAGCCCTATGTTCCACTCGGAACGCAAGGGAATAATAATAATAAACTGGGGGTGAAACTTACTGAGTTTACTGCAAATAATGATAGCTCAATAATCGTCATGTGATATAGACTTTATAATCTGCTACGTACAAAACGGTGGTGGTCACAAGTGATGAGAATAACGGTACGAGTGAGTTTTCACTAATTTTTGGATTCTGAAGCGCTTCGTCTAGAGTCTATCGGGAACTGACTGTTAAATATGTCCACGATGAAAACCAACACTTCCCTACAGGGCTAGGAATGGTAGATATTGACTTCATAGTCTGCTGCTGTGTAATTACATAGTAACCGTTGCTAACGTCCAGTATAATAGCATTACCTTTATCACAGAACTTTGAGATATACTGTGAGTAATTATTGTCACTTCAGGAGATGCGGGTTCGTGATTACCTGAGACACTATCCCAAACATCTAAATAATAAACTTGTTGTTTTCAATAAAAACATAATGACGGTCACTTGTTGTTACACTGTTGTCTTTTTAATTGTATTCTTAACTCAGGCAAACGGAAAAGTTACAGACAAACAAGTACAATGGTAAACAGTATTACTGCATGACATCCTTGTCATTTATAATACGTTGAGACCACAATGTTGTTCTTCAGTGTGCGTCATAACCAGATAGTGTGTAAGTTAACTAATGAAAAAAAAAGTTTACTTTTAATTAGCACCACAAAACCGGTGACTTATACTATTTTAATAATAAGCAGACAGAGCTGGAATGCATGACTTTGGACAACACATGGAGGGTAAATGCCTGAATAGAATTCAGTAGTTTTAAGCACACATAACTATTTATAGTCTGTGGAATAATTAACTTACAAATAATCGAAGTGTGTATGCTCATTTATACAACAGTATAAATCAACACTCTAAATATTGTGTGTAGTTTCGCACTGTAAGAAATGTTATTCAAGTTATTGTGATGTAATTAAAACTGAGAAAAACAAAAGGATGAACTCTGTTTGTAACACGCGATTCAAATACTACGAATATAAACGATAATGGTGCAAATACACATTTAGTATTATATGCCAAACAATATATTATTATCATATTTATGGTCATTTTTATATGTGATCAGCATAACCAGTGACTGAATTAGTAATAATCTATGGAATATTATTCCAATTGACGAGATTTATTCATTGCTAGAATGGTCGACTTGAAAAGGCAAAATTTTTAGCCAATATCGATTAAGTGGTTTTAAATAATACTTAATGTTTCGACAGTTACGTTTATGAAGTCTTCGGTCAAATGGCTTTAAGCCCTAGGAATTCATTTCTCCGTAGTAGTAGTAGTAGTAGTAGTAATCATAATAATAATAATATGCTGTGGTATGAATAATGTAGTTCACATCAATTATAATCATTATTTCAATGTGTTATAAGGGCCTTTACCTTCAGAGAATAAGATGATCATCTTTAAATAACGCTGGTTATACCTACGGCTAGTTATGACAACGGTATGTTTCGGCTTCATGGTAATTGTGAACGCCTAAAGAACCTAAGCATTGTTTAGGAATATTTGCATTGACGTATCAGTTGGAATCTACATCCCTCTATTTCTAAAAGCTGATTAAAGTTCATGACTTAGCAAGTAACCTGAGTTGTGAATCATAATGGATCAATGTCCTTATCAACTTAGTAGCAGCTGTTTCAACCATGCGGTTGGAAAATATTTGTTTTAACCTCTGCGGCAGTGTATTTCTATTTATTACTAATGAATAGTAGCAGGTAGTATTCTGTCGGCTGACTCTATGTACTTAATACTGAACCAACTGAATTATTATATCTTATCATTTAACTTATCGACAGTACTGGATTCCTTGATGAGCACACTTTGATCCTAATCCAGTGATTATCAGTCTGTGGCTCGATTATCTACAGCTGGATTGTCTGATGATTCAAAAGCTGGTATCTTTACCAAATGAACTCACAACAGCAACAATGTATGTAAAGGTATTCATAACCAGACCATTAATAAGTGGTAAAAGAAAGGTTAAGATAACTGCGATGCTTTTTTTGGATAATATCAACTTATGACTAAGAAACTCTTTTAGAAAACAAGAAATTTCGGACACATTAACCTGTTATTTAGGAATGAGATGACGGTTTTTTCTATACTCTGAAAAACTTAATCATCTGAAATTGATAGTAGCTGCTTTGAAAACCACTATTGAGGCTGAGTTCTTCCAAGCAAATCCACTAACTTCAGTGTGGTACATCATTTAATCTCTATTATCTTATACGTAGTTTAGGCTTTGTACTGGATTCAGATTATTAGGCATCTGAACTAATGTCGAAACCTTCTTTGGTGAAAGTAATCCAAAGAAAAATGACTCTTTACTACTTTTATCACTTAAGTATTATTTTGTCACTTTAATACCACTGTTTTATTGTAGTATTAAAATGGCGAGGTAAATGAAACAATTAGAATGTACTATTCATTAAAACTTGGGTAGTCTGGAAGTACATATATTCCAGTTTTAAAATGCGACTTACTTAAGTATATTTTCCAGTGCCATTCTAGATGTTGAAATGAGAAGTAAAAATCCAGCGAGATTTAAAAGACCACGAAAATTGTTAAATCCACTGGATGTTGAGAAAAGGGATTGAACAGGTCGATGAATTCTGATAAAAAATGGAAAATGAAAATAATATGATATAGCGCGTTTAAAAAAATTGTAATTTGTGTACTGAAGAGTGCGCTGAACTTTTCTAAACTTTCTTGTAACCGCTTGCATTAATATAGAATTATTTCTGTTTTTAACATAAAGTGACAGCGAGTGACCTAAACTGACGCTATGCATTGAAACTGACTTCAATATCGCTCAGAAAATATTATCATTATAGGAGTAAGGGATTCATAACATCTCTGAAGCATATTTCAAAGTCAAGGGTTTGGAAAGAAAGAAAAAACTAATGAATATAAGTCACATAACAAAATATTGCACAAATTAAAAAAAAGAAAGTATAAGATCACGTTATTGAAAGAAAATGGTAAAATTTCATGTGTGTATACAGCTCAGTGCTTTCACTGTTGGAAACTTTTAAAACGACTTGGCCTTACTTTATATGTCAATATCTTTATTGGTGCGGAATAATATGCAAGGACAAGGCTCTCAAGCTTTGAACTATCGATGCGTCTAGTTTCGTCTTTCAGTAACCGTATTGGGAGATATTCTTGTGTGCGTAAACCACAACGAAACTAAAAATAAACTTCGTATGATTCTGCCTTTTTCTCTCATGTCTTAAGGGTCTTCACTTAAGACAATTATCAATTTGCTAAACTTTAGGAAATCAAATTCAGCCCCTGAAAGACACTTAGAAGTGGTAAATCGTTCTACTGCCAGTAAATTTAGAGTATTTCACCTGTTAGATGACTATGTTATCTGCTTTAAATGATACCAAGTGTTAACTACAATAAAGTATAGAAGTATGTTTATACTATAGTTTAGGTTAAAATTTGAGAAATTACATGTCATTGTTTCTTAAAGTTTATTTCCAACGCATTAGAAAAGCAGTGACATGGACTTTCCCAAGTCAAAGGAATCGATGTCCATTATGTAGTCGTTAAAAATGATGAACACAAAAACCTTTAAGAAATTCCTCCACGTTGAAACTTCAAAGAAATTTCCATTTGGTTGATGTAAAAAGTTCTGATAAAAAGTTGGCTGTCATAATCCACCTTTTATATGGAAGAACAGTAGTAATAGTTGTTGTTGTTGCTGTTGCTGTTGTAGAAGAATAATTAATGCAGTAAAATATCAGCAAGTGAAATGAATTCATATGGGTTGTATGACTTCTAGCATACAGTTTTGACTAAACCATTAAAGAAAGCAGATTAATTTATTAAAAGTCATTAGGTATCTGATGATATACAACATTTATATCGTTATAATTATTTCCTTGGGTTCCGACTGGATTCTGGGTTTCAACAGCATATTTCCATCTCACTGGGTTCTCTTCACTCGTTTTTAGATGGCTCCACGATCTCTCAGAAGACTTAGTTTTCCTCTAATACGATCTTCTGTATATAACTCTCGGAGGCATAACTAATTTAGATACACTGATAGATCACTTGGTGGTCTTTTCAGCGTGTGTCCAACTCATTTCCATCGCCATCGGCACATTTCTTTGGCAGCATGTTCTCAGTTAGTTCATTGTCATAGTTGTTTGTTGCTAATCCTTTCTGAATGTATATCTGATCTTCAGTATGGAGCGAAGACATATATTGATAAAATTCTGCAACCTGTTGGAAATGCTTTTGGTGACACTCCAAGCCTCTGAAGCATATAGAAACGCTGACTTAACATTCATGTTGAAAATCCGAGTCTTTTCCTTTATGCTGAGTTCAAAAGATCTCCAAACTGATTTTATAGTAATGAAGGTCTGTCTTGCTTTCCCGATCATGCCTTACATATCCTCATACGTGTGACCTGTAGTTGTGATGATGTTTCAGAAATGAGTGTAAGAAGTGATCTAGTTCAAATTTCCTTCACAGACAGTTATTGGTGCTAGTTGTCTTCATCACCTCATGCTTATCTACGTTTACCTGAAGTCCTGTCTTCACTGTTTCTTCTGGCGACTTGTTGGTTTATGCCTATAGTTCTTCGAGTGTGTGTTACACTAGATATACACCATCAGTATTGTCCACATCATCTAGCCTGTTGTTTTCTGCCCATTGTAGTCCTGTATACTTGCCCACCACAGTCCGCCACATGATCTAGTCCAAAATCAGGAATATCATCAATGACAGTATATAGACTTGTCTCACTCCTGCCATTGTCAAAGGCTTCACTGCGTTTCCCGTTGTGAATTGCTTTATAACTGCTGAATACGGTTGATACTGATGTGGGGCACGCTGTAGTGTTGAAGTGGTCTCCAAATCACTCCGTGACCAACATATTGAAGGCCTTTCCAGAGTCGATGAAGTTGAGGCTGACAGTTGACTGCCATCCGTTGCTTACTCAGTGATGATGAATAACGATGCAATTATTAATTTCTCCAATGCCATCTAACAAAGAACTTTTGCTCTTCTTTGCAAATGTGGAACATGAAAAGACTTGTCATCGCCAGATTTTCATGTTAGCTGGTGTGATGATAAATCTAGTTGTGGAGTTCAGGGGGAGATTTTTAAAACTCGTAACCAGCGAGATGCTCAAAATACGACACTCATGCTAACCCATTTCCTTCTTCGACTAACGGTGTTAGCTGAAACAGGATTTGGTTGGGAAAGATTTTTTGACTTCTGGTTCTAGCCACGCAGGGAAGTGTAGGCCTCATCTTTGAGATTTTCAAAATGTTGAGAACCAAAGACTAACGATTATTCTCAGTGCAGAAGGTGCATTCAAACTAAGCGATCTTTCAGATTTGTTGAGTGCATTATTATTCTTCATGGAATTATTCCCCCTTCTCTATACATCCGTTTGTTGTATTATAAGTCTATTTCTTTTCTCTATTTTCAATTGTACATTTACACAGTGTGGTAGTTTGAACTTATACATTTTTTTGCAAATTTATGCGCTGAAAATTCAGTTCAGTTCTGAAAGAACTGGAATCATTATGAGTAACTGAAACGTAGAATATAGTACTTGTTGTTGATTAAATCCCTCAGTCTAATTTTGCAGAATATTCATTGATCCTTGAAATGATATTGAATTTTGTGAAAAAAAGTTGAATTATGTGGAAAACAGTCTTCAACCGTCTGACACACTTTAGTGTGGTGAGCTAATGCGTCTGGTGACAGCAATACAAAACTAACTGATAGAATTAACTGGGCACTAATGGTTAAGATGACATGGTGGCACCCTCGAAACTAATCGGTGTATTCTAAAGTGTGATACAGGAGGATAAGACATAATGATATGAGAAATAGGATGATAATCACAAGATTTAAAGGCTTTATCCTCGCTTTTAAGATCTGTAGAGAAAGACTGTTAGGTACTCATGATTCTTCATTAAGTTACTGGACTGTATGAACATTTCAAGTGAATGGTAATATATCAGAAGGATACACGTGCATTTGTCACATGACTTTATTCATTTAACACTTCATTTATATTTACTGATGGAAACTATTGACAAGAATGTCGAACAGTAACATTTTGAGTGCTAACACATTTCAATATCTTAAAAATATCAACAGCAGTAACAACAACAGAAAGAATAAAGTTAGCGTTGGTCTATGTGATTATGTAATCAGTCAATGATCATATATTAAAATAAATCTTGTATATGATAGGCAGGTACTTTTACATCCGCTCTGAGGTCAGTAATATTGTTTACAGTTGAAAAAGCTATTTTTCATCTACACATAGATCAATGTAAACACATACCTCTTACTGGTGACACTCATATGACCTAAGTGAATTCTTATAACAGTCAATAAATATGTAAGTTATAACTACAGTTTGTTTGTCAAACTACACCTGAATTCAATGTGTTTCATTGTTACTCTGAGGGTTTTCTCTATAGTCGCCCACTTTATCTTCGAATTTAACAGTCTGTTTACTGTAAGTTGTGTAACAATGTTTTGATTGTCCAAAACATTTATTCAAAGCATTGTATGAATTAAAAGTTAGACACTCTTTTCATTCACTTTATTTTATTGGAAAGTGATCAACAAACATTCTCATTGAGGAGGATGCACGTTACTTCCTAATACGAAGTAGGCTATTTAAAATGAAATTTGGAGATTTATGTACATTATTAATTAAAAGTGTGAATGAACAATTTTCGTGTCATTAAATTCTCATAGGATTCGTCAATCTAAAAATCAGATTTACTTTCATAACAATAACCATGTTACTGGTTAGTACACATTAAGTGGAATCTAAACACGAAATTATATTTGGACTAATTCAAGTTAGGGGATGACAACACGGCCTATATAAGTCTTAGGAATTTTTTGATTTGATTGGGTTCTGTGACCTAGATGATTTAACTGAGAAACCCTCGTTGTCCATCTAGAAAACACCTTCCGAGCAAGTCTTAGTATGAGTTCATCTCATAATAAAACTTGTTTGAAAGATGTTGTCTAGATGGACAACGAGGGTTTCTCAGTTAAATCAACTAGGTAAGAGAAACCAACCAAAACAATATCATCCAACTCAGTTACAAATTTTTCTCTATTATTTCAAAGTTTAATGAATACTAAATGAGGCATGAACATGACAATATTCACAATAGGCGTATACAGAACGAAGAATAAAAATTAGTTCAGGCCTGCATTACTTGTATAATGATTGACTTTTACAAGAAATTAACGGCAGAGGTAGCCCTGTCATTACTTGATAGAACAATCTGATAAATCTGCACCTATATATCCCTGTCGAAAATTTGCTACAACCAGTAACCTTAATTTACAAGAAAAGAACTATCATCCGAAATGATCAACCTCAGTCAGATTAGTTTAGGAGCGAAATCAAACACTCGATGATTTCCTAAAGTTTCCTTAAAACCTCCAGTCGAATATCAGTGTTTGAATGTATAACTTAGAATAAGATGGAAGGTGATAATAATATTGATAAAGCTTTCATGAGTTTGAATTGGGAAAAGAAATATTTTCTAGATGATGCTATCATCTGAATAGCCACAAAATATGAGAGAGACATTGCGTGAAAATTAAA